GTGGTTAACTATTTCCTTATAAAATTTACTCAGAATAGTTTCATTGTCATTGGTGTTTTCTGTACCGCTTCAGCTTGCCTCGACCTAGAGTAAAATACCCTTAGCTGTTGAAAGCTGTTAAGAACAGTTACCGAGAAATTTACAATCAATCCCTTCTGTCCTCCGCTAATTCATAGACTTTTAGACATTTTCCCTCCGGGAAGACGGTTGCTAATGGACTGTAAGGGGTAACGTTTAGAGCCCTTCTCGCCGTACTTTGATGCTTTTCAAAGAACGATATTCATTTACAAAGAAATGTGCACAATGTTCCTTGTTTTCTCATTAATTCCATACTACAGATCGTGTTATGAAGTCATTATGCAACAAAATTTATCTGTGTCAATCTTACAGTATGCAGTAAGTCTCATGTTTACAAATACTGCATTTTGCTCACCTTATTGATCACGAACTATCTTGCTGACGTGACAAAATCAACGCGAGACTTGCATTTTTAAGACAATGCATATGTTTGAGGAACGTGTGTGCACACTTGTTATTTACTAGTCATTTGCCGTTTTAGGTTTATTAATGTACTGAAATAAAATTACAACGTATTGAATAGCTGGATGCTTCACGGACTACTTGCTTATCAGAACTGGCTGTATTCTTTGTTTTGCGCGAACCAAAATTAAATCATATTCCCTCTGCTACTCTCCAACAGTTTATCCACTTAGATTATTTATGCAGTTAAAAAATCGCAGGTTCCACTGCCTTGAGGTAGATATATGTTTGGGTTCTCGGTGCATCCAAGTAATTTTCAACTGCTCTGTATTGGAGAAGAAAAGAATTGCTTAACCGCTTCCCGAAATAATCTTTCTCACAAAAGAAAACCAAATTACCGCACTTCTGCCCTTTTGAGCGGGCGTAGATTGAGTTGACTGTTGTAGTTTTCGAGTTTTTAACAGATTTGAAGATCGTCAAAAGAACCCACCTCAAACTTCGTCCAGCTACTCTGTTTTCCCGCTGGCAGATTGTGAAGAGGACACACACACAAGCACCGGGCGAACTAAGAGTGGATGATCCGATTTTCTGACAACCTGAGGTGCAAAATTGAAAACAACTCAACCGTTCGTTCAACATACTGGAATTTATCACGAGCAAAAGCTTATGGCGTAGAGGGATGAGTATGTGTGTCTGTGGGCTTGAATGTGATGGTCGACTGAGGGTATACTTGAGTTCATTGAATGCAAAACCGAGCTGACCCATTCAGTTGCAGCCGTGTCAGTTGTGTGGTGTGTGAAAAGCTTTTTGGCTCACAAATCATTTATCTGTCTATTTATATACATATATCTATTTACGTATACTTGCGAACTGGAGCATACAAACGAATCAGTTTGACGCAACTTCAATTGCGTGGCTTCTTCGATTACGGCTGAAGCGCTGCGACTTGTGGACGGTCGACTGATTGGATTGGTACACACGTTTCTGTCTCTCGCCGCGTGTGTGACTGTTTGTGTTCTCTCTTTAGCCGTTGTCATCGCCATTCGGGGCCAAGTAATTTGGACTGCGCGGTTGCTTTTGTGTGCCGGCTGCAGAGCAAACTAAGATTAGCCCAAGTTTACGATCCGTGATATTCTCTGCTAAAAGAAGCGGACCCCGTCTCTCTGATGGTGGTATATTTCCATAAAATTGTCCAGTGAATTTGTTTTTCAGTTAAAAATAAATATTTGGCTCAATGTGAAAGTAATGATATGCAATGCTATCAGTTTACTTGTGACGTAATTCATAGTGATGTTTAATAACTGTTTCTTCTGTATTTCACAACACAATACCTAGAGAACAATTATCGGTGACCTCGTGTGTGGTTTGACGGAAACAACTGGAGACATAAAGCGGTCTATTGTTCGCGCAGTTCACTCGCGATGGGCTGCGCAAACACTTTAACTTCAAAATAAAGTAAGGATTACCGAGTAACCGTTAGCATTAAATGTCGTTTTGGTTATATTTGGCGAAATGGAAAATTGATTTACGGAGTGGAAAATGTTTCTCATCTTAAAGGAATAATGAAAAATGTATTCCGTTTTTCCGCTTGGAGCCGCAACTTGTCCCGCGCTTTTACTGGTTTGTAGAATTTTATTACGAATATTTTAAAGGCTGATAACACTGACGAAGAAGAAAATCAATTGGTTAGCGGCTGAAGCGATATGCATTGTTTCCCCCCTGATTCTTGTATTTACATATTTCGGAATTCAAGTTTCAAACATTTTGTGCAAAAGTCATGCACTTTTCTCCAGGGTGGTTGTCTGATTACTTAACAAAGTCAAGATTCAACATTTATTAGGAAGCTATAAGAGCTCCGTCTAGCCCAAACGATACAGGTCCACTAAAGAACTATGAGTATTCAGTGTGGCCAAAATTCAATTTGGTCATCAGATTGCACAGTTTCAGAACAACATTTCCATAGAGAAAAACAGTTAGTTAGGGGATGCACTTTGTGAAGCTGGTAACGCGGTGTTTTTGGATTCCAGTTATATCATTCGTCCAGTTAATAACTGTGAGCTTTTTCAGTTTCTTCTTCGATAAATTCAATGTGGTTGAATTTCGTATCTACGGACAAATGAATTCACTCCCTTCGCAGCAAAGTTGTGCAAAACATCTAGCTAGTGCACATAACTGAGAACAGTCAAACACATTGTGACTATTTTAAACACACGGGATAAAAGTGCACGAGTTTCACAGTGAAACGAGTTCAATTTGGTGCTCAAGAATAACACCCAACTTAGTGATTACATTTATTATATGGAAACCACCGGAAAAAAGTGATGTACCGTACAAAAATGAAATAGAGTGTCAAGAGCCACTGAAAGTCAAGATGAGATTTAGATTCATGGTCGAGCAGGTTCGGGTCTATCAGGAAGATACCGTCACTGTATGGTTTACGCAAGGTTCAGAAAGATGAGGTATCTTTCGGGGATTTTATGAAAGAATTTCACAAAATCTAATTCCCACTCCTTTACCAAGCGTCTTAGTGCGAAACCATGATGATTTTTAGGATTTGAGTGAATTCTCTTTGTCTGAATCTTAAAAATAAATTTTCTTGGTTAACTGAATTTTTATGCTCAGTAGATGACTAGTTATTTCACGTAAATCTTAATTACCAATGTCAAAACCGGTTGGATCATCCATCCTTCAGACTTAGAGGACTGTGATTTATTTGGATTAATTTCGTATTACTTTAAAAAAAAATGGAATTTAGTGTATGTATACCAAGGATTAGAATGAAACAGAACGGGTATTTTCATAGGCGGATGTTCTGGCTATGGCGCTTTGAACGGCTGGCGGTGTTCCTGCGATGAAAGCCAATATTTCATCAGTCCAAACTGTAACGCTTCCTGGCTCCTGCAGGTTGTCGACCCCCAACCAGGCTTTATATCACGGCTTCCACCTTTATGCAAAAAATAAATTTGTTTATTCAACAAACTGAGGGAGAGATGGAATGCAGAAAATGCTGCGATTAAATCTACTGGTTTATCTTTCAACCTACCCCGGGACAGTTAAGATTAGTCCGACATTAAGCGTGTGCGGTTCCCCCGCGGGATCTTATCTCTGATGATCAATGCACCGTCGGATGAGGTATGCTGCCCATGGTGTCTATGATTTCTAGAGCTGTCAGCCGTGAGACAGGTTCAAAAATGCAAACGCAGAGGGGAGAATGTTTACCGCTTTGAAGGAATGGTCAGTGAGTGAATTTTCAAAAATGCTTTTTACATTTTATTACTTTCACAAGTATCTTCATCTGTGGCATACCTGCTATGTGACTTAATCTCTCCATCAACTATAGAAATGAGTAAACATTTTCACCAGTAGAATGAACAAACCAACACGGAGTGTAAAAAGCCTTCGCCACGCCATCTTTCTTTATTGGCAATCGCTTGTTACCATCGATTTCCAAATGCCCCTGTTATAATTGACAAAAAAACTTGATTGCTTCCTTAACTGATGTTATTCTCTAATTGCATCAACGCTCTGTGGTTTGTTCTACATCCGTTTTCGATTTTTTATTGTTGTGTGCACCTGAATCCCTTAATTTCTGTCATCTAGAGGTCAGAGTTCATATGTGGTACACATCTTATCAATTCGAAAGATATTTATAAATTGGCAAAACGGCGATTGATAGAAACCGGCCCATTTCTGCACTTTTCGCTCAGCTAGGTCGGACGAATGGCATCGAATTTGAGAACCAGAAAAAAGATTAGTTATGAAATGTGATAATGGCTAGAAAAAGAGATGCTAATTCATTCAAACCTATAATTTTTGTCCAATACACACATTCTTTGGCGCATTTTTATTCATACTGCTCAGAAGCATGCAGCATTTGGGAAATCTTGAATGTTATTTGACTCTTTTTGTTGGATTTCCTCTCGATTACACTCACACACACATGACGCCTATTCATCACCCGCTGTCAGCAGACCGACTTTTGTCCAAAGCCAAATGCCTTGTCACTGGTGTTAGCGCAGATTCTAGCATCGCTGTCAGGCCAATCGTATTCACAGAAAATTTATGATCCCGGTGTTTTGTTCCCGATCGAGCGAATTTATAAAAAGAAATCGGTAATTAAACATACAGTTGTACATTCGAATCGATGAAACAGCAACCTCCAGGTAAGGCGATTTGTTAAAACTATCATCTTTTTTAATGGTGCGTGTTCAATTGGTGTTCAATGGAATTCGTTTCTCATTTGGAATTTACAATTTTTAGAATTTTAGAATTATGCACTCTTGTACAGTTTTCAAATTCTTATAGATCTTTCTGTTTATTAATTATTTTTGACTGTTATGATTGTTGTTTATACTCTAATCTTGATGTGATTTATTACTTTGTTCGGAAGAGGAAGAAGTCCAACAAATTCATCATTCATTTTTGCATATATGCAATACAGTTTTGGTAGCATCACTCTCTGTTCTCCTCGATATTGGGAGGTTATCAAGACAGGCGTGTTTTTTTTTAGTTTAACTGGTTCAGAACGTACACCGCAGAAAATCTGAGTGCGCGATGTACGAGGATGAGCTAAAGGGAGGGAGGATTCTCCCGAAACGGGTGGGGAGACAGTGCTTCATTTCTAAAACAGAACAAAAGGCAAACATTTTGTATCCGGAAAACCGGAAACTTACGCGCCAATCATTCATTCCGCTCAAATCATAGTAGTCTTCTTTGGCAATCATAAAGGCAGCCAAATTGGCTGTGTACGAGGCGAGGAAGACCAGAGCAAACAGAGCCCAAATATTGGCCAAAAAGCGACTGGCCACTCCACGTGGATTATCGGCATTCACGGCAGCCCCAAACAACATGGACCAGATTAGCCAAAGTGAACGGAACAGGGAGAATCGGTGTCCTGGTTTTGTTGTTGTTGTTGTCGTGTGTTTCCCCGGGAAGGAATGTATTCAAAAGGGGAACAGAAACCACTAAGAGTGAAACATGTGCTCGTGTAAAATCTGTCAAAAGTGATAGTTTTGCATTATCACGATCATCATAATCACCATAGCTGTTTTCGTGTGAGGATGAAAGTCATTGGCTCTTGAATCATCTGTTTGTTTATTTTTGCCTTTCCCCAAAATCTCAATTCTGCCCGATTTCCACCGGGTATACTTTTGAAGAAAAAGGAGGCCGATATTTTAGCAATACCGAATGGTTTTTCTCTTCAGATGACTTTTTCAACAGTAATTGTGCTGGCCACATGTGCCACACAAACGTAATGAAAAGTATTGCGCATACAAAACAAGTGGATTTAGCTCCTTCATCCGAATTTGGGCTTGAACGGTTTGCCACTACAGGAGTCCTAAGTGAACTTAGGGTATTGTCTATTATAACCCTTTCTACTGGTAGTCACGTGGTAGACAAGGCCATCAAAACAGCGAAATGGTTGTCCTGAGTTGGACTACTGCAACGCCGTCCACCTTTGGCCTTTTCTGTATTCCCCCTGGCAACATAAGCTTGGCTGTAGACTCACGCCTGAAAGCCGATTGTATGTTTGTACAATCAATATATAAAAACACAAGTAAAAAACTAATAATTAAAACTACTCAAGCCTTCATGCGCTAATAGTAATATACTTATGTATTTCATCAAAATCGCTTTATTCATCAGAGATTTCTCTGAAAAATAGCTTGTTTTATGAGATTTAAAAAACAATCCTTTTATTTTCTCGGTTTGCCCTTTTTGAACGAAAGTCCTGTCCTGATGGTTAGTTTCGTTTATACACAAAGCTTAGTCAAAGGTTTTCAAACGGGATTCCGTTTGAGGCATCAAACATGAATCAGCTTCTCCCTCCCACTATGTCGGAGCTGGAATCAACCGGCACAGTGGTACAATTTGAAGTTTTGATTTAGTTCGTGAATGAAAAACAGTAAAAAAAGATAGAAAAGTGAACATGTGCACTAATTATCTAAAGAAACATCTGGCAATGAAACAAAACAAACAAACAAACAAACAAACCGATCACTCCTTTGAAATCCATGTACCCAATTTCACTACCAGAGGCAAATAAAAATTGTGATGGGTTTCGGAGATAAGAGCGAGTCAATTCTCTATGCGACTGACCTGACATATCTGCCCGACCACGATCCAATCCGTTTGGACTGAGCCATTCGAACAGAAATAGGGCCGCTCCACTAGCATGTACACTGAACACCAGGATTAGACACCAGCACTGATAGTCATAGGGTTCTGAAATGAAAAAAACGGCCAAATGAGAGTGTATTTCATAGAGGCCTGTTCCCTGGAGTGCATTCAATGAAACCGATTGCTCTCAGATTGACAGCTCGCACGAAAAGATTATTTACTGGAATGAGGTTGTTCATGTGCATTCAACGGAATGCGTTGAATCTGATCAGGTTATTAGCAATTTGAACAAGTTCTAAATGCTTGGTGGGGTACAGAATGTTTGAAATATGGTGTCTCCCTTTTGAACATATTCAGTATGCAAAATGATAAGATGATCGTTTTATATCAGATTTCGCGACAATGTGACAGTTAGAGGGTTGTATTCTAATAGTTTTGAATTTAGTTGATGCAATTTATCCATTACTTCTAAATTATTTTCCACGCTACCTAAATGTTAAAGGCTTATCATAACATAGTAGAGCGAGCTAAGATGATATTGGAGTTTCATTTTCATTTTTGCTTCCTTTAAATGAATACAGAATGATGAACGTTTTAGGAAGGGGAAGTGGCTAATCAGTGGGCTCCCATAAAGCACATAAATCGGAAAAGCCAGGCGGTGCTAGTTGGATTCGAACACACGTCTTCCGGGGTGAGAATTTGGTGACGTTAACACTAGGCCACCCAATACATATAATAAACCGCCTACACATTCTTCTGATCTCAATCAATGATAGCAAGGTTTGTATCGGACTTTTATATGCTCCTCTTCGGTCAATCAGCAATATAGGTACTGTGGTATTTGATAGAACTCTGGAGAACTGACTCGCTATTTTCACGTACTGCATATTTTACACCACGAAGAACTGAAGGTGAATTCACAAACTATCCAAACTATTTGGACATCTTAATGGATTTTACACTACATCATTGTGAAAAGTGATCGAAGATGACATACCGATTGCATCAACTAACGGAGTTAGTTTTTGGTAAAAGGGTTTTTTCTATATTGATCTACTTGTAGTTACACAATACGGGGTCATTTAATTTTTTGTTCTTACGTTATTCACTCACTGGCTTGTCAGTTTAAGCCGTGTTGGGCTCATAGCAATCTGTATTCCATTTCTAACGGATAACGTATACACAGATATCGGTCTGTTTTGCCCCAACTGATGGAAAGAAGCGTTCCTTCGGGCAGTAAGCTGAGTGCGGGTTTTGGCTTTCAGGCCAGTTTTACTTCGGAACCCAAATCACCAAGCATCGGCTGATATTTTTGGAAACCAAAACATACGTTTGATAAACAGGGGTAAGGTTTACCCCCATGCAAATATTTATATGTAAAAGTTATGCACAAGGTTTTTATTTGTTTGTTATTGAAATGTTTCAGTACAGATCGACAGATCCTTCATTAAACTTGGAAGCAGTTCGCTGGTCAGGGTCATGCTCAGTTGATCGTTGACTGTTGCTGTTGCTACTCGGAGTGCTTCCCAGTCCAGGTACTAGCTTATTGATTCATGATTTTCTTACTTTAAGTTGGAAAACTTCCGAAGCGAACATCTCCGAATGTTTTTGAACAAAGTTTTCACATATTAGTGTTTCTTGAGAAGAAAGTATTATCAAACTGGATAATGAATTCCCTCACGGGCGTGCATGCAGTCAGTAAACGCCATGTATACCATTAGTGAAAAAAATGAGCATTCCGCTTCGGTAAAATCAATTCTACTTAATCACCAAAACCGTGCCGATAAAAAAGAAACCAAAATTTGCTAAGACACCTGAAAGGTATGTAGTCAATACGGGATAAAATGTTTATTGTCAGGCAACTTTATTAGTACTAGTTAGAATCTTCGTTGTTAGCAATGATAGCATTCAGTTTAAAGATTTATCGATTTCACCTCGCCAGTGAATTAAAGATTTACTCAATTTCGTATAGTTGCTCTCCGCCCGTTTAACTCTATCACTCATAGCGGTAAATGCATTCACCATTTAGACCATTGCTCCATAAGCGCTCCTTCCAGACGGTTGCCATGCTTTTGCAAACTACTTGACCTTAACACTTGATGCACAACATTTATCACGTTAAGATCCATTCTTTCGTTGATCTGTTAGGTATCTTGCCTGCACTCATACACAGCATCAGTCGCTTCCTGCTTGATCATTGCCAGCATGATGTATCTCATTTGATCTGACATAAACCGCTCTCCGACAGCTGACAGCATCCGAGCCTTAATCCTGTCCTATTCTTTGATCCCTCATCTGTTTGGGGAAATATCTGATCTATGGTCAGTAAGATACCTTTTGATGGCATGTTTATACCAGCGAATCTGTCTCATGTCTACACTTTTTACCGGTGCGCCCCCTCCCTCCGATGTAATTGATCTCTATTCCCTCCGGATCGGTGTTTATGTCAATATGTTTTATAGCGACCTACCAGCTTCCCCTTGAACTGTCTCTCGTCTGAGACGTTTGAATTTGTTTTGGATGGTCTGACACAACATGTAGCCTTTTCGCATTTATTTCCAACATGCACGGTGGAGTACTTGAGCGCGAACAGAGATCAATTGACTCACAGGAGTCAGTATCACGAATTCGATTGATGAACAATTGAATGAGGTTGACGAAAGAAAGATCGAAATATTGTTCTCAGCGGTAATTTGGTAAGCGCTTACGAATTACTGTGCTATAGGACAGACTCGGACGTCATCTGTACTGATGGACCAAAATTCTTCTTCTTTTGACTAGTGGTTCAGTTCATTTCGACGACTTTGTCATCCTGAAAAAGGGTGTTATATTATATAAAATACGTCACCTAAGGGATTATATGTTCAGCTTTTTAGATCCTAATTGTCGATAGCATATATGAAAAAGTTGAACANGTGTTTCTCTCTAATTCAATGAAAACTGGATTGAATGGCTAAGCACAATCAACGTTGTTTAATCACTTGCTTATTTCTGGCATCACTTTTTCTCCTTTGAATTTATAGGGTCTGAAAAAGCTTTTTGCTTTGGTTTTAAAGACCGTTTTTGTTTTGGAGATTGAGATGTTTTTATTCTTCCCTTGTTTATGTAAACCACAAACCCGAATTATTCAGGTGGAACAAATAAGCTTCAGCACTAAATTTCAATTCGACTGTTCAAAACGGAGACCCGTTAATAATATTTTTTGTCCAACAAGAGGTTCAATCTAATCAAACAATTTTACTTCAACATTTACACAAAAAATTGTGTGGAGATGGGTCTTCCATTTGTGATCACGTTATGCCTTTTGACCCACGTCTGCCGAATTTTAGCCATTACGAACTACTGGTCGATGGTTTTTAGACTGTGATATCGATCCCCTTTTAATACATACGGTATATTTACCGTTTGTGGTTAGCTATTCGGAAATCCAATTGCATTGATTTGAAGGTTCTAGGAGAAACTTAAAATGTAGTCAACCTTGCTGGGCATTATTATTAAATAGTAATCTTAAATAACACATACATACATAATAGCCAGTGATAAACAAGTGTGGATCCCAAATCAACCAAAAAAATGTCGAAGTATGTTATAAACCACCAAGGAATTAGTTCTAAAAATGATAGCAGACCTTTGAATATTTATGGCAGGGAGTTAGATCCTAGGGAGACAGTCATAACGACTGTTTGGTTTCTTCAGTCCGATACGAATAAAAAACCTCAGTAAAAACAAGGAAAAACAGTATCAATAAGGAAAAGATTTCGACCTGCGAAGTTTTGTCCAGTTTTACGCTTGGAGGCATCTAGGATTGGAAAGTGTCACTGGTCAAAGTCGAAGCACGTTTGATGCATCCGTATGATTAACCTATTGCTAGTGCAAGTCATATTCGCGGAAACAAGTGCTAAAACTTCACTGAAGGAGGTAAAACAGTGCAACCGAATTTTCTGACCCTAAAACGGATAGGCTGTCAAGGCTCAAGTGTTCCGAGCAGCACTTCATGCAAACAAAGAGTACCTGCAGAACAGGCAGTGCCCAGGCATTGAGCGTGATTCATTGTCATTCTTGAGCAGCTAAAACTTTTTTAGTCGCCTTTTTATATATTTAGCTACTAATGGTGATCAAACAGCGCATTCAAGGTGAAACATATCTAAATTACAGGTCTATTTCGCTGCCCCGGAGTATTTATTATTGCTTTTTATGGTCAGCAGTTTGTGCTACTAACTGCTACAACGTTTTCCATTCGAACTTTATATGAAACATCTCAGAACCGCAGAATCAGTTAATGAATCACCTATGCCAATACACTGCTCGAGATTAACGCCGATGCACCGTCAATTACAAAGGTGCGCTACAAGGTGAGTTCGGATAAAACTGTTTTCTATTTA